AACAATATTCAAATATCAGAAAATTATTCCTTCAATGTTCTCTCTAGCTTCCAGCACCCACGTGGAATCCTTCCTCCCACCCCCCCACGCCTTACTCAGAACTTTATATGAATTGAGATGAATGCAAATATCATATCGGAGCAAGGCGAGGCAAGGTAAGGTAAGCAAAGAAAGGAAAAGAAAATGTTCGGTAGTATTACCTACCTACCTATATCCCGTCTCGATAAAATGATTATCCTCCCTTCACACACACCAACAAATTAGCATCCATCTCAAATCTCATCTCCGTCAGCTGATATATCCTGTTTCCTCTCCTCCACCCATCAGACTCAAATCCTGCTTATATATCCCCGCCATGAACCAAAGGAACCCCTCCATGTCATCAATTACACAAGCGCAGCGTTGTACCCATTACCCCCAAACCAGATAGTGCATAGTGCACACACAAACACATTAGGTGATCAGATCAACTGATTGAGAAAAAATAGCAGCGAATCCTTCATGAAAAATTTTCAGGTGCGAGTATAGTACGAGTCTGGTTTGGTGTACCAAATACTCGCTAGATCCTTCCGGCCAGTGGCTCGGAGAATGAGAATGAGAATGAGAATGCTCCGCTGACATTACATATTGTATATATATATATATATACTCGAGTACATACATAAGCATCTGATTAGATGGATGCAGCCCAAAAAAAACCGTTGCACCGTTGTATCAAAAAATAAGAATTACACGATCCTAAAGACGCTATTCCCATTCCAAGTCTAGCTACGAACAGAAAGAAGAAGGAAGGAAGGAAAAAGGTTACACATACTGTTGCCAAATCTCTAAACGCCACATAATCAGCCTGTGCCTCTTTTTCTTGAAGAATGTGCCTCACTCATCCATTCCTCTTGGTTTGTGTGTAGAGGTGGAGGGGTGTAGAAGGGTGTAGAAGGGAAATAGATGGGATGTTTGTAGCCTGTTCCTGCGTCACAACTCACCTAATGCGGTCCACGGTACCAATTCTGGAGTATTACGATGGGAAAATGGATTTGTACGTCTCAATAGAGAAGATTGTTCATTATCATCATCATCACCGAGAAAATGCGAGCTCGAGAAATTCCCTCCTTCCTTTTCCGGAGAAACACTCTGGCGTCGATGTACCATCGGGTGGGATGGCATGGCAATGGTGATGTGTAAGCTGGTATTGGTGTTTACCTTCGTTGGTGAATGCGATGGGCGTGTTGTAGGGGCTGAAACTTCAGGCTTTAGGCTTTCGGCTTTATAGATTTGAATATATATATACAAATAATATAATAGAATAAAACAAGAAATAAACAAGAAAAGAATCCAAAAATTTGAGAGAGATCTTTCTTTACTAGAATATCATAACAGAAATAATATCATCTCTTCACTTATTACCTCGTAGCTGTACTGTATTAGACCTACCTACCTACCTACCTACCTAACCAGCCATTCCTCATTAATAGCACTGACTCCATCCACAATATATGTGTGTATATGTATGTATATGTGTGGGTGTGTTTGAGAAGCTCCGCGCACAAAAACAAGCGTTGTAGCGTTGTAACACAATTACTACTCGAGTACATTTCACAGCGCGTTCACCACCCACCGCACAGCTCAATCAAGCTCTTTTCCCGTCAGATCCCATCCGTAACTCTTTTGGGATCGGAAAGAGAAGAAAAGAGAAGAAAAGAAAAGATAAGAAGAAAAAAGCTCAGAAAGGAAACTCCTGTGCGTATGTAATGTAATGTAATGTGTGTTACCGTCTGCTTTGATGAATGCACATCTGCAATTGGTGGTTTCGCATTGTTTTTGGATGAAGGAAGGGAAGGCTGGCAGAAATTTAATGATTGTCTAAAATATTACTCGCTCATCATTTGCTCACTCATGTTGATATAAATAGGAAACGTGTGCCTTGCAGTGGTATGGTATGGTATGTTAGAGTAGGTATGATTGAAAGATGCATTGCATTGCAGAGTTACATTCCTTGGGGCTTTTTCTGTTTGGTTGGATGATGAATTCGAATTGATGAGTTGATTTGATTATATGATGTGAGGGGGCTATTTTGTATGAGAAGAGGTTGGGGTCTATGAAAATTGTGCACGAGTACATGTACGAGTATGCAGGAAGGGGGTTTGAACTTATTAAGGTGTGTGGTATTGCAGATGTTTCAGCAGTGCCGAATTTGTTTCTAATTGATGTTTGAGGAGGGGATCACTGTAATGGGTAACGGATGATGCTAATTGATATGAGGACAGTTCGGTTCGGTTTGGCTGATTATTTTATCTTTTTCTTGTTGGTATAATGTTAGTGCTAGCGTATACATTTATATACATTTATTTCACGTTGAGTACACACTCAATATAGATCGTATAGAGTTGTGAGGTGAGTGCAGTAAGTACTGAACTGTATTGCAATGTCAAACGGAGAAGACTTTTGAATAAAGTTGAGATGTTTCGGGAGATAGTTCTATATCTACCTAGGTATGTTTATTTACTTATTTTGTTTTGTCAAAGGTTTCGATTCTGGGCTTATCTTACTGCGAGTTAGTACTAGTGGTCGCTGACAGCAGTGCTATATTGAATTGGTGTTTCATCTGATGTCTTTCTTGATGAGGATGAGAACGCCTGGATCACTCATTGCGTTTGCGTTTCTATATCTATCTATACGTTGATTATTGGGGAAATTGTTGGTAGTGAATGAATTTGGCATTTATTTCTATAGCCAGCCATCGATGATGAGGCTCTGACTCTGAATCTGACCTTTCCTTCCCCATTCAATTGAGACAGAAGACTTCAATTCCTGCTCTTGAATATCAGATTAGTATTCTGCTGGTTATGGGTGGAGTCCAAGTTTGAACAAAGACACCTCTGCATTGAATATATAAGGTATAGATATAAGATTGATTTGATTGGAATTCGATTCGAACACACACACGTGCATACATACATAAATTTGGAAAAGATCTCACCTCACCTTACCGTTCGGGAACATGACTAGGTATTCGTCGCTTCCCCTTTTCATCAGATGGAAATAGGCAGTCAAAGTAGTCTAAGCTTTCATTTTCCTTTTCCTTTTCCTTTTCCTTTGTCAAACACTCATTACTATCATATATGCAATCACATCATGGGTAATCTCAATTATACTTCAAGGAAGATACTCAAGATTAGATAGTATCGAAAGAAAGTGGGATAGGATAGAGCGATAAAGTGCGTTTTCTACTTGACTGTACTCGATAAATTCAGTATTCAAAAAAGTCACGGTCCATGTTCCAGCGAGCAACGATATCTTTGTTATATTGGATTAGAGTAGAGTAGAGTAGATTGGATTAAATTGGATTTGATGGATTGAATCGAACAACATCAATCAATATATTCGAATAAAACAAGTATAAGTATAAGTACGACCTAATACATCTCAGATGATTAGG